CCCAGCGGCTGCATCCCGGAGCAGCAGAGCTGCTGGAAGCTGCTGCCCCTCGCCCTGGAACCTCCCAGGAGCAGAACAGCCCCTGGGTGTGACATGGAACCAGGAACCACAGGATCACAGAATCATGGAATCACAGAGTCACAGGATCACAGAATCACAGTCACAGAATCATGGAATCAGGGAAGCACAGAATCACAGAATCATGGAATCACAGGATCACAGAATCCCCTGAGCTGGAAGGAACCCACGAGGATCACTGGGGATACCCAAGGCACCTGAGTCTTGCTACCACGTGCAGATGTAGATTTTCCTGTTTCTGCAAGTGCCTGCCCTGCCCTGGACAGCATCCCAGCTTCATTAATTTCTTAATCCCAGCCTCTGCAATTCTTTTTCAATCCCAGTGTTCACACAGCACACTTTGCACAAAGGGCAGTGGCGGTGGTGACCTTCACTGTGTGAAACCCAGGGTTTCTGTGCAGCTTCCCCAGCCCCTGGATGTGCTGGGACGGCTGTGTGGGAGCCTGGGCTGTACGAGGGGTGGGAGCAAGCTTCCTCACCGGCTCTCAGTCTCAAAATAACCCTGTCTGCTTTCCACATGCCTGCCTGGCGGCTCAGCTCCTGTAAAAGGAGAAGAGAAAATGGTTTGGAAGAGACAGGGAGCTCCGAGCCAGACCCTTAAAGGGCCCAGGTGGGAGAGGTGCCAGGCAGGCATGAAGTGCCTTGCTGGCTGAAGAGGCAGTCAGTGTCCCCCAGCTCGATGGGATGTGAGGAGGGGACACGGTTTTGTCCCCTCAGTGCAGCCTCGCTGCCCTACCGGCAGAGCTGGGAGGTTCCCAGGAATCTGTGAGCTGGGAATTTTTGTCTTAGTTTGGAAATAGCTTTGCAAATGACTGGTTTCCACAGCCTAAGCTGTTTGGATTTCACATTGCTTTCACAGTAACTCAGCTGTGTTTTTCCCTGCCCCAACAGTCTGTGGAATAATTTCTGGTTGGGGAAACGTTTATTCCATTTGCTTCATCATGCAACTGCATTGACCACTCCAGTTCCTCATCCAGCCTCACTCTGACCCTGCTGGGAGAGAATCTGGTGTCTGTGCTGAGGACCTCATCCCTCTGAATCTCACTGCAGGCTGTCTGAGCCCCCTGGATCTGGGCACGGGGCTCAGTGCTGCCAGAGGGTGCCTGCAGGCACAGCACAGGCCGTGCCAGCTGCCTCACACTTCAGCTCTTTAACAAGAAAGCAGAGTTACCTTTGGGCATTTATAGGTCTTTGAGATAATTACACATTTTGAAGTCATGCCTCCTTGGCCAGAGTCCCAGCACAGGCAGTGGGTGATGCTGTAACACTAAGCCAGGCAGGAAGGGTTAAAATTACCTTTAATTAACTGGTTCCCCTGGTCCCTGCTGTAAGAGTATACAGCTCTGGCAGAGTGCTAACCCAGCCAGGCTGTGCCTGCATTGCCCTGGGCAGCCCAGCAGGCAGGAGAAACAGTTTATGCGTGCTTTTCCCACGCAGGAAAGCAGCAGGAGCACCATGATGCTCTCAACAAAAGCACTGCAGGAGCCTGGGCAGGGCTTGTGGCCATCACAGAGCTTCCCAGAGCTGTGGGCATGGGGCAGGAACAAGGAGGCAGCTTGTCCTGCAGCAGGGAGCAGAGCAAACAGAGCACTCAGCTCCAAGCCTCTCCTCGAAATTTGTGTATGCTTTGGCTGGGGAGCTCCCTGCCAGGAACTGGGTGAAAAGCAAACAACTCCCTGCATGCTTCCTGCCTGCCTCTGCCTCCAACACAGGGTGATGGTGCTGGTATGGGGGGGCAAAGAACACTCTGGAAAAACCACCTCCCTTACCCAAAAGAGCTCGGGGAATGGTTGCCCACAATGGCTGCATGGCAGTGGGGCACAAACCATCCACGCTCCCCAGCAGCATCCAGAAAACCTCCACACGGTGCCCCAGTTCCTCACCAACAGGTCTCGGTGTCACAGGCTGTAAATATCCCGTGTTCCCAGCCTGACTGGCGTTTGCCTGTAATTAGCTCTTGGGATTTGGGAGCTGGCGTGATCCGGGGTTATCGCCAGGCACCGGCGCTGTGCTGGGATTTAAAGGGACAATGTGGCTGTTCGCAGACCTCCCCGCCCAGAGCGCTGTCATATGGCACACTGAATAGAGAGAGGAGTCTCCTCAAAGCCCGCGTGCGTCCTTGCCCACCACAGGTCCCTTTTCAGGCAGAGCTGATGTGGTTCCAGGCACAGCAGAACCGCTTGCTAATATTTCTGCCAGGACCTTTCGGTCTTTGCCATCACCTCGGCTTCGGCGTCACCTCAGCTCAAGGCTCTGCGGGCAGCCCCCATTGCTGTGCCCGCTGCCTTCCCCTGCACAGCATCGTTCCCAGCCCGAGCTGCCCAGCCGTGCCCCAGCTCCGCTGCCTGCCCGGGGCCGGCTGGGCTCCCCTGCGCCCGACGGGCACGTACTCACGGCTCTAGCGCAGCCGCGGCAGGCAGCCCGCCGGCCCGCGGGGGTCTCGCCTCATTCCCTCTCCGGCGGGCAGAAACAGCCCCAGAGCACGTTCTGCCGTCCGGCCAGCGATGCCAGGCCCGGGCAGCCCCGGGCACTGCCCTCCCCGGGGCTCCTGCTGGCGCGGGCAGCGCTAGAGGGTCCAGCCCAGCGCCGTGCCGGGGCACGGGCTGCTATCGGCTCTGCCGAGGAACATCTTCATCTATCTGCCAACATAATAAATTCTGCCTTGGAGTTTCTCACCTGGCAACAGTCACCAAGGAGACGAGGACGGCTGCCGCGGGTCCCCGCTGGCAGCCCCGGGGAGGCCGGGTGGTCCTGGCAGAGGGTCAGGGGGTGTGTGGCCAGAGGCACAGCTGCCCACCCGTCACCTGAGCTCAGGCCCAGCAGAACTCACATCGCTCTGGGCTTGGCCCCCGTGCCGCCTCTCTGGAGCCCAGTGTGGGTTTCACCAGATTTGGGGTGGATTTTGAGGTTTTCCTGGCTGTCGATCCATGTGTGTGCATTGGGAGGTGTGACCTGGAGCTGCCTCGGGCTCTTGGGGGGTTTTCCTGTCCTCAGCTCCAGTCTGACCAGGGATTTCAGACACTTGCTTTAAAAGCAGTGGCACCCCAAGTGTTCAGAGATGTCTGGAAAGCCATTGGTGCCAGAGGGAGATCAGATCCTGCTGCCCCTCAGGAAGATGAGCCACTCCTCCAGGGCTGCCTGACACATGGCACTGCCCTATTTATAGCACCTGTGGTCATGTCACAGCACATTCCTGTCCCTGCTGGGCTGTCCCCTAACAGTGCCACCCTAAACATAGAGACAAGAGCTGGCACTGGAGCAAATCACTTCAGCCCTCATAGGGCTAATTCTGCAAAAATCATCACATCCATGCTGTGTGTGAACCTGCCCCAGCTGCTGCTCCCTGCAGGCTGCTGGCACAGGCACAGACAAACCAGGATGGCCACCAGGATGGGGACAGGGAGCTGCTGCCACTGCCCTGCCATCAGCAGCACAGGGCTGGCACCAAAGTCACCCCACAGTCACCCCAAATATTGCATCTGGCAGTGATACCAGAGCAGCAACTTCATCAACCATTAACCATGCATGGCTGCCTGCCCATGGCATGGAACTGGGGCACCTCCCTTGCCCAGGACAGGCACTGAGTTCCCAACAGTAAGGGGGAATGGGGAGAAAGAAGGGCGTGGGGCTGGAGGGAAGGGCTGGGGCTGGAGGGAAGGGCTGGGGCTGGAGGGAAGGGCTGGGGCTGGGGAGAAGGGCACGGGACTGTGCCCATGCTGGGCTCGCACCCCTGGGGCCAGGGCAGTGTCTCAGCACCTTTGGCTCGTGGTTGGTGCTCAGCTGGTGGAGGCAGTGCTGCTGGTGCTGGGTGGCTCAGCACGGACTGGTGTGAGCCAGCAGGCTCCCTGTTTGCTCCTGGGTATGGATGTTGAAGGACCTCATGTCTTTGTCCCTCTTGACTCCACTTCCCCCACCCGAGCTCCTGCAGCTCAGACACCCCTGTGTGACTTCTCCACACACATCAGTGGCAGCAAGCCAGGGAGGGCAGCTCTGCCTGGGAAAAGAAGCAAGAAACCTAAGAAGCAAGATAAGAGCTTCAGAGCTGAAGATGGAGAAGCTGGAGCTCTTTTTTTCTCCACTCTGCCCTGTGGTTGAGGGTCTCCAGCAGGTCCCCGCTCCCAGCCAGACTCCTGCTGGGGCTGGCTGTGTTTCCATCTCAGGGAGCACAGGACCTGCTGCCACGCTCCTTGTGGTTTCTGCCAGGGTACGAAACACAAGCAGTGAGCAGTGATGTCCCCCAGCCCAGCTCAGAGGGGACCCTGGGCGAGCAGCAGAGCTGTGCACACCGTGAAGGGGATGCTCCCTGCGGAGGCTGCAGGGAAACAGCCTCAGGGATCAGGCAGGGAGAAGCCAGAGGAGCTGCTCCTTAGAGGAGCCCCTAATTCAGCCCACAGGCAGTGTCCCCACCACAAGCCACGTCCAGCAGTGAAGGGGACACGAGGCTGCAGTGGGGTGGGCGAGTCAGTGCCGTGCCACCCAGCGTGGCAGGCAGCCCCAGCCCAGCCGTGTCCCAGCAGCCACTGGCCTGGGCCGACCCACCAGGATTAGGGAGCCTGCAGGAGTAAATCATTCAAATCCAGATTAGATTTAAGCAGCTGCTACGCAAAGGGCATGTGAGCAGAGGCTGTGCAGTGGGGATGAGCAGGTGAGACACTGACTGGCACTCCTAATGTGAGGGGCAGTGAGAGCAGGCTCTGTGCCCATGGGGTGCTGCCCAGAAGGACTGATTTTTTCTCCAGGCTTGGCTTGTGTGCACCAGGCAGAAGGCAGCAGTGCTGTGCCGTGGGACAGGGCACCCAGGAGGAGATGTTCCCTGCCGTGAAGAGAGAGCCCAGGCAGGAGGATGAAGCTCAGGGACACGCTGGGCTGCTCGCTTGGTAGGTGCTGGAGAGAGGCCACCCCTCTGCGCAGGGCTGCAGACCATGTTCCACCTCTTCTCCCACTGCTGGTCGTGGCTGCAGGCCATACAGGAGCCCGTCAGGTAGGTCCCTGTGCCCACTCCCGGGGCTCCCAGGGTGACAGTGTTTACCCGTGTGTGTGGGTGGTGAGGGTGCCAGGGAAAGCCAGGTGCCCGCTGCAGGAACTGTGCCCAGGCTGCTGAGCAAGGCACACGTGTGTCCTCGCTGCCCCTGCAGCAGGCAGGAGTGGGCAGGGAAGCAGGCTGGGCAGGGATGCAGTGCAGGGAATGGTTCCACTGGATTCTGGCTCTGCAGAGTCAGCAGCTCCCCAGGAAAGCTGGGGAGGATGCACGGAAACACCTCCTTGTTTGCATAGGCCAGAACATCCAGGATAATTCCCTGGGACAGCGCTGCAAGGAGCTTTGTGCTCCTCTCCCTCCAGAGAGGACACCTTGCCTGCTGTAATTCTGGAGGTGGAGCCATGCCACTCCACTGCCACGCAGCCTGGAACAAAATGGCATCGCAAATAACTGTAGTGGCTTGTCCATGGCAGAGAAAATGTTTTTTGTGTGGCTCTGCTGGATCACGTTGCTGGAGAGTGGACAGGACTGGTTAGCAACAGGAAAAACACCCGAGTCTAGGCAGAAGCTCATAAAATCATCCTTGCAACCTTTCCCTATTTGTGTATATTCAAAATTTATTGCAAGGAAGGTGTAATCATTGACTACATATCAGGAAGAATCGTGCTGGCCTGTGCATATAATTGCTTAATCCTCTATGATTTGAAAATAAGTACACGGACGGCTCGGCAGTGTGGGTGTCCCATGGTATTGGGGGGGCTCCAGGAACCTGTCCCATGCACCAAGAATTGTCCCTGCACTTCTCCCCAGCTGAGACAGAGCCTGTGTCACTGTCCTGGCTGAAATGTAGCTGCCACGGGCAGCGTCCTTTGCCTGGGGGCCAGCAGTGGTCCTTGCTCCCCAGGGAGCACAGCCTTTTCCTGGGGTGCTCACCTGCTGTTGTTGCCCCCCAGGAAGGTGACCCTCCTTGTCATGGGGCTGGACAACGCAGGGAAAACCTCCGTCATCGCGGACATGGGGGCAGGTGAGGAGCAGCACAGCCCGGGGCAGCCCCGGACGGGCAGCAGCTTGGTGGCCCTGTGACACCAGAGGAGCGAGGCTGAGCTGCAGCCGCTGCTGCGGGGAGCCTGCGGGGCACAGCCGTGCCCGGCAGCCCTGGCAGCGGGGATGCGGCTGTGGCAGGAGGGGCGCGGGGCACAGGGGCGCTCCCGGGCCCCGGGGCAGCTCTCTGCGCTCTCCCCGCCCGCAGCGCTGGCCGGGGAGGCGCTGCCCGGTGCGCAGCCTGGCCGGAGCCGCCTGCGGCTGGACAGGTTCGAGGTGACGCTGCTGGAGCTGCCCGGGGCGCAGCGCTCCCGCAGCGCCTGGCGCAGCCACTACAGCGAGGCGCAGGGGCTGCTCTTCGTGCTGGACTCCGGTGACCCGGCACGGATGGAGGAGGCCCGCAAGGTCCTGAGCCGCGTCCTGAGCCACCCCGAGGTGTCCGGGAAGCCGCTCTTGCTGTAAGACCGGGATGCAAGCCGTGAGGCTGGGGGTGAGGGGGCTGTGCGCTGCTGCGGGGATTCGGTGCCCGGGAGCTGTCGGGGAGCGCGGGGACGTGGGGACCCCAGCAGCGCTGGGGAGATCGGAGCATCCGCGGGGAGGAGCTGAGGAGGGGCTCCGGTGCCAGGGCAGGGCTGGGGCGATGCTTCACCTTTCTGCTCCTGCCGTGCCCCAGGCTGGCCAACAAGCAGGACGCGGCGGGCGCGCTGCTGCCCTGCGAGCTGATCGAGCGGCTGTGCCTGGAGCGCCTGGTCAACGAGAAGCGCTCGCCCTGCCGCATCGTGAGTGCGGGGCCGGCCCCGCTCCCCCCCGCGGCCGCCGCCGCCGCTGATCCCCGCCGCCCTCCCGCAGGAGCCCTGTGTCGCCGGGCGGGTCCCCCCCGGCCGCCCGGCCCGCGCCACCCTGCAGGGGCTGCGCTGGCTGCTCCGCGCCGCCGCCGCCCCGCCGGACACCGGCCCGGGCCCGCCGGACACCGGGGCCGCCCGCAGGTGGGTCCGGCTCCTCGCTCCGTCCCCGCGCTCCGCCCGCAGCGATCGCCCCCACAGCGCTGCGCTCCCTCCCGCAGGCACCGGCCGCCCCCCGGGGAGGATGCTCGGGAGGGCGCGGGGAAGAGCGGGGAGCCCCGGCCGGAGCGCCCGGTCTGCCGCCTCCTGCCCCCGGTGAGTGAGGAGGGAGGAGGGAGGAGGGAGGAGTGAGAGAGGAGTGAGTGAGGAGTGAGGGAGCAAGGAGTGAGGAGTGAGGAGTGAGGAGTGAGTGAATGAGTGACTGAGTGAGGAGTGAGTGAGTGAGACCCCGGGATGGGACGGGGCCTAAGAGCGCTCTGCCACCCTCTGCTCATCCCCCTTTCCCTGCCCAGGAGGAGAGCATGAAGGGCCCCAGGAGGAGGAAGAGGAAGGTGAAGGTGAAGAAGAAGGGCTCGGGGCAGCCAAGCCCAGCTGCAGAGTTGGAGGCACCGGGAGCAGGGGCCGCCGGGGGGCTGCTGCTCCCCAACAGGGTCGGGCAGGAGGAGCCCATACCCGGCCCCTGCCCAGGTGAGAGGGGACTGTGGGCGGCTCCAGCTCTGCAGGGCCCCAGAGCCACCCTACAGGGAGGTGGCCGGGCCTGGCAAAGTGACAAAATATTGGAGCACAGGTGCCCGCCACCTCCATCAGCTTTGCCTGCAGATCAGCTGAGTGCAGAGCCAGTCACAGGAACGCAGAGGGGAAGAGGAGAGACATCTGAGCTTCTCCACGGGGGAGGATGCACGGAAGCCATGGAGGACTGCAAACCTGCCCCCAGCAGTCCTCTCAGCTGGTTTGGTGACAAAGGCACCCTTGCTCAGGTCTGTGGTGCCTGAAATTTTGTATTTCTCCATTCAGCACAGGGTATGAAAAAGAAAAAAAAGAAGAAAATCAAGAATAAAATCAAGTCACGGGAACCTTCTCTGGAGCAGCAGCGTGAGGAGATCTCAAGCACCTTTGGTTGGTATTTCTCAGGACAGATTTTGCTGAAAGCATCAGGGGTCTGGCCCGCTGGCAGCGGGCTGGGAGCTGTGCAGGGACACTTGGTGCTTGGCGTGGGGACCCGGGCACAGGCAAGTGCTGCTGCGGGGCTGGGTGGGTGCTCTGCAGGCAGAGGCTCTGTGGGGGCTGCAGAGGGGCCCACGAGTGCTGCACTGAGCCTGGCTGTCCGGGCAGCCCTCGCTCCGCACGGCTGCCAGCGGGGCCGGAGCTGTCCCAGCTCGGGGCCCGACTGCTCCCGTGTTCCAGATCTGTACCGCCGCGCCATGCTGGCTCTGAAGATGAGGCAGGAGCAGAGGAAGCAGCCGTCGGCCGTCGCCCCCTGAGCAGGGAGGCATGGAGCGGGGGGTGCATCCCTGCAGTGGCACTGCCACCCGCGCCCCTGCACAGCTGGCAGAGCTGGGAAATGGGTCCTGGGCCACAAACAGCATCCTTGTCCCCTGCGTGGCTTGAGAACCAGGGATCCACGGGGGCGAGCCAAAGGTCCCTTTGTGAGATGCCGGGCTGTAAATCCATGGGAAAAGGGAGCAGCCAGCCCTGGCTGCCCCTGTCAGTGTTCGTGGGAGACTCCACCTAAAGCCAGACCAGTCTGTGCAGGAGAGGAAGATCCGAGCAAACATCCCGGAGGACAGCTTGTCCCTGAATGGGCCTGTGCCCCGGGAGAGCTGTTTCCTCAGGCCAGGGCTGCACTCCCACTGCCTGGATCGGTGTCGTGGAGGGAGCTCAGCCCCAGGTGGGCCCCGGGGAGGAGAGGAGCTCTGCCGGACCCTCAGCCACACCTGGCAGGGCTGCCAGGACCCGCCTCACACGCTGGAGGAAGGTGACGCCCGGTTTGTGCATCCTGCAGCCCGTCAGAGAAAATCTAAACTCAAAGCAGCTGGTGGCGGAGGCTCCAGCCCCAGGAGCGTTCCTCCTGACCGTGCCATCCTTCCAGGAGGGTCCCTGGCGCTCCAGCCTGGCACTCTGCTGGCCCAGGTGGTCCCTGGGGTGCACTCAGCTCTGCCCTGAGAGGGCCAGTGCGTGTGCCAGAGCCGTGCCAGCCAGAGCCGTGCCAGCCAGGCCTCCTGTGGCACAGCATGTGCCAGAGCCATGATTCCCACACCGAGCCGTGCCAGCCTGGCACCGGGCCGTGCCAGCCTGGCACCGAGCCGTGCCAGCGGGCTCTGCACGCCGGCAGAGCTCCCTCAGCCCTGCAAACACTCCCCCGAGCCCGGGGCCGGGCAGTTTTCCCTGCCCCTGCAGCAGCTGTGCTGGAGGCTCTCCGTGTTCCCCTGGCACTGAGGAACTGGCACTGCCTCTGTGCTCCAGGGGAAGGCAAACCACAGCAGCCCTTCCTCGGCAGGGCTGAAGGGGAAAAGGGCAGAAACTGGCTGCTCTGCCTTGCCAGCCTGCCATAACGTTCTGTCTACCCTCTGCTGTATTCAGCTGTTGGCAACTGCAGGGACTGTTTGTAAATAATCTGTAAATAGCAGCAGCAGAAGTTAACACTGCCCTGTAAATACAGCACTTGCAGCATTCCCTTGTCTCAGTCTGGTGGAGCTCCCTGGGGTGAGGGTGCTGTGGGGTAAAGTGGGGACCAAAAACAAGACGGTGGCGAGTGGTACCTTGCCATGAATTTCAGGTTTGTTGGAAAATGCTGCAGCTCCAAAGGTGCTGGAAGCAGGCAGCAGTGCCTCAGCAGCTGCTCCGGACAGACACATTTTCCATCTCTTGTGCAGAGCATCAGCAGCATCTCCTGCAGGGAGCCAGCTGGGTGGCACTGTCCTGCTTTGCATGGCAGCATTTGGATATTTTCTAGCATATCCTTCTGCTCCCGTTTCCAGAGAAGCTGGCTCAGGAGCGTCAGGGTAGGCAGAATTTTGTGCCTGGTCCCACCAGCAGCGTTGTGGTGCCTCAGCCTGGGCTGTGGCTGCGCTGCTGTAGATGGCATGTGAGTTGTGCATTTCTGCAGCTCTTGATGTTGCTCGCTCAGAGACCCAGCGAGGCACCAGCAGCTCTCTCCACAGCCTGGCTCCCTCTGAGCCTGAAGGGTGGAGAGAGGAGTCTGCACTTGGCTGAGCTCTGCCAAAGCTGCTGCCCCTTTGTGCACTGCCAGGAGAAGATGAAGAGATGTTTCAGCAAGTGCCCGTGGGAATACACCTCCCACCTCCTCACACCAAGGTTGCTTTGCACAGTTGGATTGTTTTCTGATGCTTGCTATCACTACCAGGATTTAAATGAGTGGACTGGAAGTGAGTAGTGAGACTACTGCTCTCTTTTGAAGAGCACTGCTTGGTCATGCTCAAAACACTGCCAAGTCCTCCCGTGTACAGGACACCACCAAAATTCCAGGCAGCACAAGGCCTGAAGGAGGAGAGCCTGGAAGATGGGTCCGTGTGCTGAGGCTGTCACCCCCTCTAGTTCCACCCATGGCCCTGCTGTGCTTTCTCCAAAGCCATTACATTCCACTTTCTGCACACTGGCTGCGCTTAGGCAGCAGCTACACTTTATGTTACAGACCCTCCTGGCCCCAGGAGAGAATGTGGAGGTGATGTGGGGGTGATGTTGACTCCAAAATCTCCTCTGGGAGCCCTTGATTTGCCCCACACACATGGGCAGGGCAGGAGGCTCCCCATGGGAAGCTCTTGTGGAGAGTACAGACACCTCTACTGCTCTACATCCACTGCTGTATTTTCTCAATAAAAACAAAACTCTGTGGCTTTTCCCACACACATCAGTGCTTCCAGAGGAGTGGGAACCATTGTGGATTTCAGGATCATTCCCAGGATTCTGATGGAGGCTCCCTTGGGAACCAGCTTTCCCAGCAGCTGCAGGGGGATGCTCCAAGGGGCAGGACAGGGAAGCTGAGCCTGCTCCAAGCATCAGGGAGCTGTGGGGTGGCAAACCCTCAGCAACCAGGCCTGGCAAAGGAAAACAACTTCAATGAGAGACAGAGATTTGTGATGTGTGAAAAGCATGGCAGTTCTTCCTTCTTCACTAACCCAAATTTATAGAGGAAGGAGCCAGCAAGTGGTTTTTGAGAGCATCTCAGCTGTTGGAATTTGAACACTGATTTAGGGCAGTAAAGAGGATTAATTGCAAATGATCTGGGTTAACGGGTGTTTGGAAAGGCAAAAGGAATGGGTCACACCTGTGGGGTGCCTGCAGGAGACTCTCATTCCCCCCAAGCTATCTGTAAATGCCATCACCTGCCTTGGGCTCATAACAGCCAGAGAAAGGGGAGGGGGTTCCTGGGGTATGGGGCTGGTGAGGGGCTTTCACATGGAGCTCTCCCCTCTCTGCTCCGTGAAAAAGGTACAAATTTAACTAAAATAAATCTCCCACAGAGCAGTGGCTGTGGGGAAAGGTGAGCAGCCCCTGCTCCTTGGCCTGCAGAGCTGAGGGCTCTGCCCATGTCACACTGCTGTCTGAAAGCTGCTTTGAGTATGTACAGGCTTAAACAAACATGTACAAAGCAGGTAAGTGGATTTTAAACCTTGGAATGGGTGTTAGGGTTGATAAAAGCCTTGGGTGGGTGGTTTTTTGTACTTGAGAAGCTGGTTGCTATGTACACTTTCTCCTCCTTGCAGGTTCTACCCTCTGACTAACTTGGGTGGGCTGGGTGCCAGCATGATCTTGTGGGAGTTCCCAGCTGCAAAAGTGAATGTTGGAAATGGCTCAGCTTTATTTTAGCTGAGCACACCAGGGTCCAGGTGATTTTTCCAGAGATCATTGAGATATTGCAATATATGTGATGACAGGCAGCTCTCAATATGTTCACTAATGAGCAGCCATGCACAGAGTTTCTCCGGGATGTTTTGTTGTAGACCCTCTGTTGTGTTATGCTAAAAATGAGACCTGGAGTGTTTGCTGTCATGTGTGCTGAAAAAACAAGGCTGGAATTATTGACAGTATCTCCCTAAACTTCTTTTGATGGTCATGAAAGAGGCTGTTAAGACTTCGTAAGAATGGAGAGGACAAAGGATTGCAAAATGAGAGACTACGAAAACTTTCCCTTCTAGGCTAAATGAACCCTGTTGGAGGCGTTGTTGCTGGCAGAAGGAAAAAGGATATAACCAAATTTATTCAGTGTCTTGGGGCGCCAGGAAATATGCCGGCGTCTGAGGTATATAAATTTGTCATGTACCAAATATATTTGCTGGGTTTTCCCCCTTTGAAAAAGAAAAAGCATTCTTTTCAGAAAAGGAAATTTTGTTAACTAAAATCGGTATTCTCTTTCATAAATTATCACTCTGTAAGTTGCTGCATATTTGAATAAGTTGTTTCACACTATAAGGACAAAGTGCCTCTAGAGAAAGGCTATCAGTATATTAATTAGAAGGGCTTTTGCTACAGAATATCTCTGGATATCGGATCAAGAGCCAATTTATTAACAAAAATTTTTCATTTAAAAGTCAGCTGCAGCAATCAGAGCTCAGGCCTTGTCTGTGAGAGATCCTTCACCTCCTTAAACTGCACTTATATTTCAGTGCAGCTGAGTTTAGCAAGACTGTAGCCCAAATACCTGACCTGCTGGGCTCTCATAGACCTTACCCCTGACCTTGCATGCACAGTGCAGCTGTGGGAGAGGTTTGGGGGTGATTTTGTAAGGTTTTTCTATGTTTTGGGGTTTTGTTTGGCTAGGCTTGTGTTCATGGATTGCAGAGGCCTGCAGGAATGAGTATCGGAGCTCTGTGCCTGCTCCAGCAAGGGCAGCTGCAGGTGGAGTGATGAACTGCAAATGCACTTGGGGGTGGAGGAAAGCGTGTGCAGGGCCCCGTGTGATGGGCACTTGAAACGAAGAGCTGCTTTGTGCAGAACACCTGCTGCAGGTGAGGCTGTCACAGAGGGAATCCCAAAGCTGAAGCCCAGGAGAAGTCCCAGCTGCAGGTGAGGCTGTCACAGAGAGAATCCCAAACCTGAAGCGATGTTGGGCACAGGGGTGAGGCAGGGCTGGGGGAGCTGGTGCTGAGTGATGTGCCCAGCCGTGATGCCCGGGGGAGTGGGATGGGCTGCAGGGGAGGCAGGTTTGCAGGGCTGCAGGGCTGCAGGAGATGGCCCTGGAATGGCTGCCAGGGGACAGGGTGGCCTCAGAGGTGGGTGGCACTCAGCAGCAGCGCCGTGTCCCGGATGCTCTGGCCCGCTGTGAGGAGCAGCATCAACGGGCAGGCAGGTCATGCCCCAGCAATAAATCAGCTCCCACCCTACACTGGATTAACGAGACCTACTTCAAGCTGCAGCGATTCTAAAGGCGAACCCGTAGTACCCGTCCGGTGGGAAGGACCTGGGTGAGAAGTAATGTGTCCCCATGGACTTCATGGGACATCGGATCTCATAAAAATCCGTAGGGTATTTGGAAGACACGGAAAGCCGATTGCTTGTTTTACAGACTGCTCTTTATCCTCCAACTGGCCACACGATGGCAGAAGAAGCAAAGAACGCTGCAAAAATAAGTGTTTAAGGAATAAAGCCCACAGGGCGGGGAGGGCTAACGCGTCAAGGACCGAACTCAGAAAAGCCCCATCACCTGAACAGCCAAAACAAGGGCAGGAGAACGCTTTCGTGAGAGAGTTGATGGATTTCCCCAGGCTCTGAGGTGCTCGGGGCGCTCCCTCGGGTCGCCCTGGTTGCAGTGTGCCCAGCGCTCACGCTCTGGATTTCTTGCGCTCATTTTCGTGCTAACTGAAGTGGCCGTGGACTCCAACCAAGCTGCATGGTGCAAAGCTCCCCTGGGAGAGGGAGCTGCCCCTTGTGGTCCCTTCTGTTAGAGGTAAAAATGATCAAGCCGAATGTAATAATTAATCCAAATAGATTTTTATTTCGCGACCCAGACTCGGTCGGAGATAACCACAATCAAAGGTCGGTGCCGAAGCGTGGGCAGCGCAGGGTCTGCAATGTTCACCCCGACGGTTCGGCCCAGCGGCTCTTCCGCCGTCTGTTCTGCCTGAGACAGGGTTTTTCTCCTTTGCAACAGTTCACATATTCATGTCGTTTCTTTGCCGGGAAGCGATGTATACCGGTCAGGACTTACTGGGATTTGGCATTGGGATGCGCATTCCTGATGGCTCTGGCTATCTCAAGCTGAGATATTTATCGACCATTCATCACTTGGGTGTTCCTCCGGTCACCTTGGAGAAGCACCCATCTCCTTGTGAGCCACGTTTATTCGTTTGCAAATTTAACTCCTTTTTCTCCCTGCTGCCAGCTGCGGTTTGGAAATACCGTGAAGAGACCTTCCCGTCCCCGGCTTGAGTGCTTAAGAGAACTTAGAGGAGTATTTCTAATATAACATATTTCATGCGTCTGTTTCTCATATGCACGAATTGTTCAGAATACACAGAACCCTTTCCTGGGCAGGGCACGCCTGGTTCCGCCCAGCCCCGCTGGGCGAGGCTTTAAAAGCCGCATTCAGACAGATTTCCCTGCTGAGGACCGTGAGCCGGCAGAATTGCCACCAGGGCAGCGGTGGAGCCGTGCGGGCGGTTCCAGGCTCTGCAAAAGCCCAGTCAGGGCTGTGTGCTCCCTCCCTGCGGGGC